CACCACCACCACCACCACCACCACCACCACCACCACCACCACTACCTCTGCCATTTCCATCGTCAGCCCCTCTCCCACTTCTACCATGTTTCTGCTGATTAAGAAAAGGAGGGCCTTTCCCCCTTGTTTGTCTACCTTTGAAAAGTAGATGCAAGTGACCTCACACGTCTATTGCAGGAGAAATTTGAGTAGCGTGGAGGAGGGAGACCAATTTTAGGAAAAGCGGTAGAGGTGGCAGCTGGGAAGAAGCCCGCAGTGAGGGAGAAAGACACGCCATGAGCAAAAATTAGAGACGAGAGAGCCACGGAGACTAACTGGCTGTCCTCGGGTATGCATTCAAGAAGCCACAGGCCATAAAGTGCCTTTGTGCAATTAGACAGGTACCCTTCTGGATATACACAGCTCTGTGCTGGGTGCTGGCTGCATTGCAGCACCCCACCCTTGATATCTCCTTAGCCCATTGATTCTGCAGAGTGAAAAATCTACCCAACCCTCCAGGCAGCCCTGGAGCCTCTCCCCGGCTCTGCGACTCAGCTGCAGCACATGTGAAATGAGGATGTTGAACGTGATACTACATGCAGCACCCACACCACTAAGCTCTAAAATGCCTTGTTCTCAGCGTCTGAATTACAGATTTTAAGGAAATTGCTGTTTTATTGCTTCCAAATACATAGCGTGATTAGAACTAATTGCACAAAGCTGCCAAGCAGCAGTCCTTAGGAGCTCTGCTTTGACAATAGATAAGAATGATTTGAATTAGTAGATCAGTTACGAAAAATGTCAATGGGTGCCTGATCGTGTTTGGAAGCAGCTTGTCCTCTTAAGTAGTGTAAATAACACCCCCACCCCCACCCCTGTAATCTTTGCTTATACTATTAGTGTGCCCAGCAACTCTTTCCTTTTTTCATATCACAAATCTCACCAGACTGTGCCGGCATTAAAGAGGTTTTGCTCTGCTTGACTTTGGAATGCTGTCAGAGCCCGGACCCTCCTATTGGCACCAGAAGGCTCTCCTGCTGGTCCCTGGCCATCAAGGTTCAGGATCCGTGCATCTCATCTCCCTGCCCAGGAAAGGGGAGGCATCATCTCGGACTGATTTTGGAGAACTTACAATTTTGCCCGAAGGAGCCCTGGCAGCACAGGGATCAAGCTCTCTGCAGCCAACTGGAACGTTGACGGTTCAAACCCACCCACTACTCAGCGGGAGAAAGAGGAGGTAGCAGTCGGCTTCTGTAAAGATGCCAGCCTTGGGAAGACTACGGGGCTGTTCTACCTTATCCTAGAAGATAGTCATGCGTCAGCATTGGCCCCGTGACAGCGAGGGTTTTTTCACTTTGTGATTTCCCGAGGTCCCTGGGCGATGCAAATGGTTTGCCCTTGGTGCCTAACCAAAAGATGGGGGTTTGAATCCACCCTTTGTTGCCAAGGAAGAAGAGCTTAAAGACTTCCACTAAGACTCCACCCTTGGAAACCTCTGGAGCGACCCTACTCTATGTCACATAGGTCGCCTGGAGTTGGAAGCGACTCCGCAGTGAAGAATATGTGCCTTTTTGTAAAACCGTTTGTCTCTTTCGTTCTGACTGCTCGTCAGCACGAGGGCCTAACGGATATCAAGATAACCAGACAGATCCCAATCCCCTGGCTCATCCTTCAAAACATTTTACACCCTTGTAGTTACTTTCTTAATTATTTACAATTCCTTGTCAATATCTGTCTTCCTCGTCAGACTGTAAGTTTCAAAAGGCCAAGAAATGGATTTGTTTTCTTGCCTGACTTCATGCAGGCCTGCTGTCTGCTGTTGACTGAGACGGAAGAAGAGAAAGGCAGACAGCGTGCAGCCTAGAGAGCTCAGAGCCAGACCTGGGCCCCCAGGGATGGCTGCACAGCCAGGGCACAACGCAGACGCAATGAGCCAAAGCTGGACCCTGCATTCACTAGGAATTTTGAAGAGAGCAAGCAGGCAAGACATGTGTACCTTTAGGGAAGCATGAAAGATATGACGGGCATGACATGTTTTGAAGAACTGCAGAGGGAGCAGGATAGAGAGGGAGCACCAGCCAGGGGGATGCTTGGTCTCAGGAGCTCAGTGTCTGTCTTGTGGGAAGTGGGAAACCAGACCAGGTTGGTGAACAAGGCTGGCCAGAACCGGCATCTAGCACCTTGTGGGTCCTGGAGCCAGCACTGTGCATCCAGTCCACTTCCCTGTAACCTACTGCCTGGTTCTGTTCTCGCCTAGATGCAGTGCCAAGGCCCACAGTGCAAGTGTTCATCGCTGCAACAAGGGACACCCAGTCCCCTAGGACCTGCCAGGTCTTTCTCTCCTGCTGGGCCCCCAACATCAGTGATGTCACTTACAGCTGGCGACAAGAAGGGACCGTTGACGCTAGTCTGGAGCCACTTGGCCTGCTTGCAAGTGGACAGGTGCTAAGGATTTCACTGGGGCCCGGAGACAGGAGTGTGGCCTATTCCTGCATTGTCTCCAACCCTGTCAGCTGGGCTTTGGCCACAGTCACCCCCTGGGAGAGCTGTCACCGTGACGCAGGTATGCCCAGGGTTAGGGTGGTTAAGGGACCACAAATCATCAGTTCTACCTCTGATCCTCCCACCTCCATCCATGTCCAGAGCCAGGGAAAACCTCCTACAATGATGTGCTGTTGCTGCTGTTGCTGCTGCCAGCCTCGCTGATCCTGGTGCTGGCCGGTCTCCTCTCAGCCTGGCACTGTAGTCCCTGCTCAGGTAGGAGCCCTACAGGAGCGGGAGGGGGGTGCCAGGATGGACCTCCTGCTAATGGGATGATCTGTGCCTCCTTACCTCTCCCACCTCTTCTCTTCACCCTCTCCATCTCCCACTTGGGCCTCCAGCCAGACTGAACTACTTAAAATCTCTTGTGCAGTTCTTCAAATAATTGACCCCTCCCTCACACGCCTCCCCCGGGCCATGCACACGCTGTTCTCTCAGCCTGGGCCACACTGTCTCCGACTTCCCACCAATGCCCCGTCTCCTACTTCACCTTCAAGATGTGGCTACTCCAAGAAACCTCCCGACTTTCTCTCCAACCCACCAAGCGAGAAACAACAAGCCTATGGCCACTGGGTCCATTCTAACTCAGTGGCCCTCTCCAGAGTGTCTGAGGCTATCAATCTGTACAGCCTCATCTTTCTCCCTCAGGACAGCTGGTGGGTTTGAACCACCAACCTTGTGATTAGCAGCCCATTGCCTAGCTCAGTGCCACTCTTTCCCCTACCCGCCCCCCCAGGCTACGTTCATGCCTACTACACTCACAACATCTATGGCATTTACTTCCGTGCTGAACTCTGAGCCCTATAGAGGGAGAGTTTGGGTCACCACTGGCGGCCTCTTTAACAATGGTTTCTAGACCAGAGCTGGGACTCAGAAGAGGTGTGGTGAGTAGAAGGACGGATGAATCCCTCGACCAGCTTGGCTACCATCCCTGGAGGTGGCTCCCTGCAAGAAGCACCCCGTAGCCAGGGTCAGAGAAGGTGTTCTCCTTGAAGAGAGGAGGAAAGAGGGCGCTTAGAGATCAGGCCAGGCTCTGAGCTCAGCATTGTGCCTCTGCCCCTGTCCTCGGATGCCCTGTCTCTGAAAGAACCATCCCCTAATGACCTGAACTTCATGGCCATTTCCATCCCAGGCTTTCTGGCCCCAGGTCAGCAAGGAGAGGGAGGCACTGAGACCTCGCCTCGAGGGGGGTGCCCTGGGGAGATCCTTGGCACAGCCCCTAGGCCAGGGGACTAGTGGCTCTGGTGTGCTCGTCAGAAGGCAGAGGAGAGAGTTCCTGTCTGGCCCTGTCTGCTCTGCAGAAGCTGTGCTCCTGGCCCTTTGCCTCAGACAGTCACCAGGATTTGTAGTAAGAAGGTGGGAGCCAGGGAAAGAGCAGCCTTTTGTCCTCAGACAGCTTTATTAACACAGAGTTGCCATGTCGTCCCCTTCACCCATTCAGAGCATAAAGCCCAAAGGTTTTCAGGATGCTCACCACACTGCCCATCTATCACAGTGATCCGTTTTAGAGCGTTTTCATTGCTCCCAACAGAAAGTCCACAGCCCTGAGCTGGCACCACTAGCAACAGGCAACATTTGCCTGTGCTGAGAAGTTTGTATACATGGAACCATTCAATGCGTGGTTCTTTGTGACTTAGATTTCTTTCACCTACCATCCTGCCGTCAAGGTTCACAACAGAGCAGCTCTGCCTCGTGAGAAAGGACAGAGAGAAAACCTGACCCCCTGGGAGAGTGGGAAGGCTCCCGCGTAGGACCCAGCTCTGCCGCGTCCTTTAAGCGGTTCTAGCTCAGTTTTTCTGTCCCACCTCCAGCTACAACCACAGGAGAGCCGCAGATCAAGTTTAGACAGACAAGAATTTCTTGTTTTCAAAGTCTCTCCTCTCTTAGAAGATCAAGGGAGAACTACTTGGAGGTGACCTTGGAAGGGAAATGTTCGCAGTGAGAGACCTTGTGCCTGGCCAAGAACGCCAAGAATATAAGCATTGTAGGAGTAACTTGCATTCTGATATTCTCACCAGGGAACAAGAAGCAGGATGTCCATGCCAATGGTGTGGCTCCCGAGACAGAGAACCCACCTGTGTAGGGTCTGCCGTGAGAGAGGATATGAACGGACGTCTAGATCATCAGGAGCCCCGCTGCCCAGCCAACGTAAAGCTCTGGGACATCGCTGGTCCCTGGAAATCTCAGTGGTCCTCAGACCTCCTGTGAGACTCTCTCCTTGCCTCTGGGGAACAGCCAGCACAGCTGTCATAGTGGGAGGACAGGAAGTACTGACCGAACCTTCCATCACCTTCCCTCACTCCCTTTACTGTGCATGTCGTGGCTCTACTCTGGGTAAGAGGAGCCTAACAGAAATGTCCCTCAAAGATGCTAGAAGTTGTCCAGACCCACCGGAACATCGATGCTCTCTGGCCATTGTTTACGAAATAGTAGCCAACTGGCACCAGAGGCCTGGCGCCAGCCTGGGTCCTGGGCTCTAAAAGGCCGTAGACATTTGAACCTGCAGATAAACTCTGCTTATTTACTTCTAGCCTCAACTGCAGCCCCTGTAACTTGAGATTAGGATGTCTCCTGGTGACCTAGACATTTTTATAAGATAAGGTGGAAGTGAGAAGTGGGGGACAGGACTCCCTCCTGGCCTGGAAGACTTTCAGATCATCTGAGTCCATAGATTACCATGGGATGGTTCACATCTCATGGTTGGGGTGGATGACATCTTGCAAGTGATTCTTTATTGACATCCTTGCTATCTCTGTTGGCCCTCGTGCCTCCTGCAGGATCTAGGAAAGAGGGGTGCGGTTCTCCTTTCTCTCTAGCACCAGTGGTCCTCAACCTTCCTAGTGCCATGACCCTTTCATGACCCTCATGTTGTAGTGACCCCCAACCATAAAACTATTTTTGTTGCTACTTCACAACTGTAATTTGCTACTGTTATGAATCGGATGACCCCTGTGAAAGGGTCATTCGACCCCCAAAGGGGTCACAACCCACAGGTTGAGAACCCCTGCTCTAGCACAGTAACCAGGAAAAGAGACGTGGGATGTACCCCTGTCACAGGAAGTGGCAGTGCAACTTACTTTCTGCCTGAGCGCAGCAGAGTGAGAAGCCAGGCGGAGCAGAGCAGAGAGCAACGCAGGAGCAGGGGAGGACGAGGCACCGAGACTCTGTCACCCTCTCAGAGGAAAGCAGAGAAGATCCACTCAAGTCCAAGAAGGGGCAAAGGCTCCACCCCTCAGAGTAAGGATTGTCAAGGTCACTTTGAAAGAGGAACCTGTTATCATGGTCACCTTTGAAAAATACAACCTGCCTTGGAATGAGTTTGTGTAGCAAAGTTCTGGGCTATTGCGACTCTGGAAAAAATTGATGAACTAAATTTACACTTAAGAGATTGAGAATTGGTAACATGGCCCCCTCACAGGGGTAGCCAGATGTCTCCTGAGGCCGCAACTCTTACAGGAAGTGATGTCAGAGAAGGAGGTATTGAAGAAACAGAGTAGGTGGTGAAGAAATTTCCCAAGACACCCACTCAGGATGACATTCTTGCCCAAGGGTTTCTCCTTCCCACGTCATCCCCCACCCCCACCTCCATTTCCCATTTTGGACCAATGACCAGCCTAGCTGGCCTTCTAGGTGCGTATTGCCACTCCTCCACTCGGCTGTTCCCGGAGTGTCCTTGTCTGATGGCAGCTCCGCTCGGGGATCTCATGCTGGTCACCTGGCTTTGCCTCGTCCATATGCCTTCCCCACTTCTCTTCCATTGCCTTCTCCTGTGGCCACTTGAGCAGTGCACATGGCCACCCACTTGGAGGAGAGTCCAGTCACTGACCACAGCAAACTGACCTCAGCCCCTACAAATGATGTGGAAGACGAAGCCCATGAGCCATGGAGACCATATGAGAGAAGAAAGCCCAGGCCCACACCACTCCCCACTTTTCTCTGTGTCCCACCTGAGGTCAGAGCAGCGCTAGAGAGGCCCAGAGTCCTCCTGTCACCAGGGAGCTCCTGACACCCTCCTGTAGACAGTGGCTTTATTATGTGGTGCATCGGGCCCTTCTGTCCAGATCTGTGCTGTTCAAATAAATGAATGTCCCCATCCCCAGTGACTCATTTGTCAACCAGCCGCCTAATGAGTCCTCCACTGGAAAACAAAATGTGAAACCAATCCCCAGGCATTGGGGATCTGAGCTTTGAAAGTCACACCACAGCAAATACTGACTGAACTCCCAGCATGTGCGTGGTGTGGGTTTAGGTGCAGGGAATCAGCAGTGAACATAAAGGCCCGTTTTCTGGAGTGGAGATTCTAGATCGTACAAGCAAACAAGTATGTGCCAAGTGCTGCCAGGGTCAACTCAGAACAAGAATCCTAGTAAAGGGCCAGGAAGGATGGGCCAGGGAGCGGTGGGGCCATTCTAGATCATGTAATCAAGAGAAGGGAATCCCAGGTAAGGTGGTATTTGAACAGAGAATAAATGAAGCGAAGGAGCCTACCGTGCAGTGACCGGGGCAAGCGTGTTCTGGACAGAGACAGCAGGAAACACAATGGCCCTGAAGTGGGAGCATGATTGGTGTTTGCAAAGAATAGAGACCAAAGGGCTTGGATCAAAACAAAGGAGGTATCACGGCTTGAATTAGAATCCTATTGCCTGTACCTGTGGAAGAAATCCTGTTTTGAAATAGGGGTTGTTGGGTTTTTGTTTTTGTTTCAATCATATTCATTAGACCATATGCAAACTGGGGGCTGGAACCGAATCATTTCTGAGTGGTATAAAGAGCAGATTAGACAGAGACATGCTTGGGCACACACCGCGGGAGACAGAAACCATGTGAGGGTCATCAGCGAGTCATGAACCAGGGAAATCCTGGGAATGCCTGCACAGAAGGAATCAACCTCACTGGGATGGTGGCTTGGACTTTTCGCCTCCAGAACCATGGGCCAATAAATCTTGATTTGTTAAAAGTCACTTACTCTGGTATTTCTGTGGCAGCGGCACTACTTAACCATGACAGGAGAGGGACATAGAAGGCCAAGGTCAGGGAAACCGCCCAAGGCCAGGTCACGTAGGAGCCTGTGGTTTTTGGTACACCCTTTCCTTGGGGCTAGGCGGGTGATAGGGAGAAAGCCCCGTCTGTCACTGAGTTTTTCTGTGGATGGCCTCGATACCATTGTCATTAGACTAGAATCTTCTCAGATCTGCTCTTGCTAGTTTGCATTTGCTTTTCCTTAAGCAATAAATAGTCTTTGCAGCAGTTTTTTTGCACAAAAGACAAAACAAGAACGTCTATGGCCTTGGGGTCATGTGACTTGAAAGATAAGAAAATGAAGATGAAGTGCAGCAAGAGAGAAGAGTGGGAAATGATTTTCCCCACTAAGTAGAGATATGAATACGCAGTGGCCCCTTCTTAGGGCGAAAAGAATGAAAAAATGCATTGCAAAAACCTTGGTGACCCTCTGGCAACTCTTCCTTCTGTGTCTGTTAAGCAGGTGCACCTGTTCCGTTACATAGTACATGGTTACTTACTCACTCTCGGGGGAAAGTACCATCTCCTTTCAAAGGTGACTTCATGGCTCCTTCCCCCTGTTTGGCATGCAGTCTTATGGAAGGACCTGGAAATTGGAACCTTCCCTGGACCTCAAGATAGATTGTGTGGTGCCTCTCCTGGGACTGTGCATGGGTCCAGGTGCGTCCTGTCCCCCTCAGCCAGGAGGGGCAGGCAAAGCACAAGGGAGCAGTGCACAGACAGCCTGAGCCAAAAAATAATGACCAGACTGGTGAGAAGTCTGAAAATCAGATCATATGAGATATAGAAACTTGGTATGTTTCATTGAAAACAAAAGGCTCAGAAGATCTGAAGGACCATCATGTAAGCCTAGATGCTATAACTAAAGTCAATTGAAGCTGTCATTCAGGGCACGTATGGACTCAAAGAAAGAAATGGATTTTAGAGCAGTGTGTTAGGCCAGGGCAACTAGAGAAACAAATCCAGAGACACTCGTATATATGTGTTAGAGAGAGCTTTATATCAAGAAGTAGTCATGCATCAATAAAACAGCCCAGCCCAGTCCAACTTAGTCCATAAGTCCCTCCTCAGACTCACAAAGCCATATGCAATGCTACAGAATGCAAGAACATCACCAGCCAGTGGGTGCAAAATCTTGTGGATCCAATGGCCGTGGACACATCTCCAGGACTCCCACGGGTCTCCCCTTGGCATCAACAGGAAAGTGAAGGCAGAAAGGGAGGGGGAGGTTCCCAGGACCCTCCTGATGAGAAGGTCTGTGACCTGATTGGAAGGCTAGACTCCATCCTTCACTTTTGTATCTTCAATTTGACAAGAAATTATCTAACAACCCCAAGCAGGAAGAAAACATTGTGGTTACTCAGTTCCAGTTTTTCAGTTCCCGAGTGGATTACTGAGGCCCAAAGACATCGCTACTTCCCCAACCTATTGTGATCAAATCAATTCTGATTCAGTCACACCACGTGCTGCAGAGTCGAACTGCCCGCACAGGATTGACTTCCCTAGAATGACAACAGTAGTCAATGGCAGAGTCTGAATCTATTTGGGTCATCTAGATCTGTCCAGTCCCTCACACCACTTTATGGGTCCCAGGAAGAGCTGCCCAACAAAGGGAGAAATCCAAACAGCGAGCGAGCTGCTTCCGTGAATGTACTTAAGCAAAAACCATCTCAGAGCAACATTATAGACTAGAGATTGTTCGTCTTGGGCGAGAGGTTGCGTCAGACTGCACGACAAATAAGCCGCACATCTATCTAGACTTCCTCCTTCTGTGGCAGACGTGGCTAATTAATTATGCCACGCTTTCCCCTCTGAGTCCAGATGCTACACATCTCAAGTCACCCCTACCAGTCTGGTTGAAGTTAGAAGTCAAGATGAAACTTCTTTGCCATCTTGCCTTAGATAATCCAGGAGCTCCTTCCAACATTAAGCAATTGAAATTAAGCGGAGGCTGGATGAATGTGGAACAAAAGAGGCCAGTGAAAATCCTGCTTGGGGATGGGAGGCGGGTAATCAAGGTATACAAGCCATGCTTCCTACAAGGAAGATTTCTTCTCGCTCCCTCCAGCCGTTTCTCTCAGCGTTGCTCAGGGAACGTATCTGAAGTGGGGAGAGGAAGCTGTCGATGGCTCTTGGCGGTGCAGTGGCTTCAGTGTTCAGCAATCCAAACCACCTGTAAAGATTGTAGCCTAGAGGGCCCGATAGCAGACTGGACAGCACATAACACAACAGTCACACCACAACCCGGCAAGCATAAGGCAACAAGAAATTACTCAAACCAGTGAATGTAATCCATACTTTGGACATGTTGTCAGGAGAGACCAGTCCCTGGAGAGGGACAGCACGCTTGGTAAAGTAGAGGGGCAGCAAACAAACAAACAAACAAGGAACACCCTCAAGGAGATGATTGACACTGTGGATGCAACAGTGGCTGCAGCGCAGGAACTGTGAGGGCGGTGCAGGGCCAGGCCATTTCCTTCTGCCGTGCACAGGGTCACTGTGGGTTGGCGCCAAATCAAGTGTGCCCAACAACAACAGTAACATACAGAAAGACCAAAGTCTAGACCCACCATCTTCAAGTCAACTTCCATTTC